AATAACACAGTCTGTCAAAGGAATATCAATCTAGCCATTAGCATTCGTTTAATCCTGCTTTCATATACTGAATCAGGTTACAAGATTTTATCAAGGCGCCTCCCGTTGACGAGAGGAGGAACCTTTGGGTGGTGAGGGCGCCATCGTGTAGTCACTTTACTTATTTTACCCCTCCCCCTTCTGAAGTTTAAACCTTAGAATGGCTGACTTGTATGCTTTAGAAATAAGAAAAACGATATCTTTTATTTTATACAACTTCTTCGTGTTTGCACATTGATGTTTGATGGAAGCTGCATCTCTTCATTAACAGACAATAACCATTTTAGTTCACTATCTATTTGTGACACTCTGTTACTATTTGCAGAAGTCAAATTTATATGACTTTCTAAAGCTTGTCTGCATACATTTGTGAAATTTGTCAACAACCTATCCGCTCTACTTTCAGCTTCTGATGACACTTCTGCTTGAAACACGTCAGAGCTTCAGTAACTGCTTCACTATGATCATTCTCCACAGTATTTTGGATAAGTATTAGTCATAGTATGAATTCCCAAACTAGAGTCAACTTCTAGATAATATCGTAAGTACACTGTAGTGTTTCTTCTATAATTACAGTGACAATCCACCTTGGATGTAAACCGCACAGGTTTGTCGAAGCGATGGGCCAAACGCATATGCTTACAGGCATGCCTATTTCATTGAAAGTCTATACGACTACAAGCAATCATCATTCCTTGCCCAGTTGAGATATTGTATACAGCTTCCGCTGTGAAAGACTTGACATTGTAGCAAACCTCTCCATTGATGTGCACTTTCTGTATCATATCTTCTAACGCTAGTTCGCTAATTTCTTCTGCCGCTGTAGAATAGTGTAGGTTTGGTTTGGTTGATATGTATAAATTTGGCGTTAAGGGTTCACTTTGTGGTGACCACCAGATCTTTAATAGATCAAATAAGTAATTGAGTAATAAAAGACAAATAAAAGTAAGGGTTTGAAAATGCTCTGACAGGTAATATAAATGTTATACCACAATCAGAATTACTTTATAAAAATATATAAAGGATTTATTGTTGAGTCAATGAATAATTCTCCTCAGAGAACCAAAAACAAGGCAGTATTTTTACTGTTCAAAAAATGATTTGAAACCAGTCAGTCATGACACAGTGTCACTGGTCGTTGACTTCAAAAGTGAGTGGGTGACATCGCATCATCATCTTCATTACATTGCAATTGTCCTCTTTCTTACCTCTCTAGTCTTTGAACTCAAACATCCAGTATCAGCGGCCATCCTTGCGGTATTGTGCATAAAATCGGTATGAACGCCATCAATCAAGATAAATATTTATCGATCCAGTCTTCTATTCATCTTTCTTTGTAAGTAGTTTGTCTTCAATTGGTTGTGTCAACTCTCAATATAGTTGCTAGTTTCCGTATTGGTGAAAGTTTGTTGTTGGTAAGCAGCAGATCAATGCATGAATTCCAGGCAAAATGATTCAGCTCGAACTAGTTGTTACCTTTGCCATGGAGAAACAAAGCCGAATGTATAACTCTGTTCGAAACCTTGAGCAATATAGGTAAAGTAACCTCGTTGTTGCTGAAGATCTTTCAGCCAGAGCTTGGTCGATTCTTTCTGTTCATTGTGTTTTTTATATGATAGCTCTTGAACGTTTTTTATATATGTTGTAAACATCTTCCGAATGGACAAACTGATTACGGTGTACAACATATACTGAAGAGGATGGCGAACTAGCAGCTTCAGGAAAATGATCTCTTATCTTTTCATTAAAATGGCGTCGAACTGCAGTTCTTGTGTCTCCTATACCATAACCTTCACGCAACTTTTGTAATATGGCTTCCTTCGTATTATCCGATAAAGGTAAAAAAGAGATATCATTAAGGCTTCCAATAAGATGATTATGCTCATTCTGAAGCTTAATGGTGACCTAATTGGTGCAAATGTTCTATCCGACATACAAACCATATCAATATCTTATGTTCAGTAAGTTTTATAAATCGTTTTCTATCTTTATAATATTCTTACTTAGGCTATTATTATCATTAGTATTTTTTCTTTCATGAAAGGGTTTGAGCATCTTGAAAGGAGAGGATATTTATATAGCAATAGACAACAAACATTAGATCACATTACGAACGCTCTATACCAAAGAACCTTACAAAACGAGTCATACAGTCTATGCCACTCAAGTACAAGCAGAGAACGAAAAAAAAAGAGAGGCAGCTATATCATAGGAATGTTGGATTTCAAGGTCAACACCATAAGAGAGTCATTTTTGCATATGCGACGTAAGCCTTCTAAGCTCTATGCGTTCATTTACTCCTACACCCTCTAAGGTAAAATGAATTTACAAAAATATGCAATTATATCTAATACAGGCAATAGAAATTACGCAGACATTTATCAAAAAAAGGGATAGTGATACTAGTTGATGAATACAGGACGTCAAAAGTTTGCAGCCATTGCAAAAACGATTTAGAGGATATTACTGTGCCTGAAAGAGGATTTAACTACAATCACAAGTATACAAGTATTATTTATATACATAGCTGTACAAGATATTGGTCTCGATTTAATTCTTTTTAGAAAAAAGATGATTAGACAGAGTACAGTGAAAAATCGTGTTAAATGTTGTGTAAATGATAACAATAACATTATTGATTGATCCAGTCTCTCGATAAAACACAAACAGGTATATCTGCCAAACTTCGAACGCTTAAAGTTTATGTTCTAACCTAATCAATTACAAATTAGGCTATGTCCCCATTGTATACCCGTTGGGACTTTGCAAACAGTGTCCAGCTGGTAATGCTTATAGTAGAAACTTAGTAAGTTACTCTTGCTTAGTTACAACTAGTTAGGTACTGATTATTCTATTTTAATACTGTCAACTCCATCCAATGATAGGTCTGGAACCGAGGCGTCAACACAGCATTGAACATTCGATCGATTCTTGCAGATTATGTTAATAATAACTGTAATATTGAATCAAGGAATACTGCATTTATTAGGGTGCTTTAACCAGCACTATCAAGCCACTAGTCTGACCCTTTGCACTTGTAAGTATTCGAAAAGAAAGTACTAACGTCATCATTATCTTATCCAATCAAAAATTTCTGGGGTGATTTAAGTGAGTGCTTTTTCACGGGCTATTTTCCGTTTATACACACCCCACATTACCCAAGCTAGGGGTTGTAAAGAACACTTTTTTTTTCTTTAACCGTCTTTACAAAATGCCTGTTTCCAAAATCGTCACCAATCCCTACTTCTCTTTCATTACACCCGAAAAGCTCATTAAAGTGTAATTACACAATTAGAAAAGAAATACATGTATAAACTGATCGTTTTATACATAGTGCTCCTAGTCTTGCTACCTGGGGTGCTGCTGCTGGTTCTGCTGTTCTTCTCTTCGGTTCTGATGTTCCCTTAGTAAAGAAGGATCTCTTGAGCAAGATTCCCATTGCTGGAAAATACTGGACTGTCCCTGAAGATAACTAAACTGCTAATAAATAATGTAGATTTTGGAACAATTTAACAACAACAGTAATATACTAGAAAGGAGTATGAGATGTTTTTATTACCTGGATATTTCACATTCTCCTCTCTCTTTCTCCTTGTCCATGTCTTTATATGAAAAAGTATAAAAGGGAATGATTTCTCCTTTTCCTTTCTTTCTCTCTCTCGTATTTATCTTTAATTAATTCATGCTGATCTTCAGTCTTTTAGTTTATGCTCTTGCATTGTCCGTTCAGGCAGGAATTATCAGCAGTCGTGACGAAAAGCCCACTTGTAGAAGCTATCATACGGATTTCACAAAGTCAATTGATGGATGGACTGAGGTCAGAGGTGCAACTAGAACATGGGAGGTGACGCCAGAGGGGTTGAAGCTTAAGTTGTTGCGTCCTGAGAGGTTCAATAGACTGATTGATACTAGTTCACCAAATAGTACGTGTTTTTATATACATGTATAATAGACTTTCTGATTTGTTTGACTTTAGGGCTTGCGTATAATGATGCTGAAGGAGAAGGTGCCACATTCAACGCATCAACCTACATGCTATACGGTCGGTTCTCTGTCACTCTCAAGTCAGCAAAGGTAGGAGGAGCGGTCACTGCGATGATCTTAATTGCTGACGATAAGGATGAAATCGACTATGAGTTACTGGGTAAAGGAAACGGCTTAAACGAGCAAGTGCAGTAAGTTGTTCTTTTGATTTCATATATGCAACATCATAATGAAGGTATTTATTAGAACCAACTATTTTTGGGGTAAAAATATTGTCTATGGAAAGAATGGAGGCGAACATGAAGTAGATGGCTCTATATCATCGCAGTTCCATACTTATGAAATTGATTGGTAACATATAAAGAAAGCATCTCTCCCTTTCATAAATTCACACAATGCTCTCAAAAGGTCTCCAGAACACATCAAATGGTCTGTTAATGGTAACGTCATTAGAATCAAAAGTCGACAAGAAGCCAATGGAGAATATCCTACATCCCCAGCGTAAGTATATTGATTTTTTGAAACTAAATATCTAAATTCTTTATAGCCGTGTCCAAATAGGCTTATGGGACGGAAGTAGACAAAGTGGTACAGCCGATTGGGCTCATGGGCCTATTGAGGTAAGGGAAATTTTTTAATTTCTTTCATCAACTCTAATCCACCCCTCCTCCCTTAGTGGAATGGACTTGGTAATGAAATTACTGCCACCATCAAAAGCGTCGAGATTGAATGCAATCCGGAATACAATATCATCATTCATTAGACAAGGAAAGAAAGAAAATATTTAATAAAACTTGCATATATTCATCATAACACGCATGTATCTATTCTGTCGTCCGCCCGCGCGCGGCAACATTCGCCCCCTTTGTATATCTAAAATAAGAAAACCGACCAAATACTCAAAAATGTTTTGCATCTTTAAGAATCTTTTCGAAAAGAAGGGGGCCTCCCTTCATTCTCTCACTTTTTCTTTTTCTTTGTGCAAATGTACATTCGACCTAACGACAACCTTATGTGGGGACCCTTTAGAAGACACACGTCTCAAAAGGTAACCCCTCTTGTTCAACTGGATGAAACAAAGCCTCCCAGACAAGCAAAAAAGAGCCAAACATGCCCTAATCTGAGCAGCATTGAAGATCGTCCCCTGCCTCCACTGCCCAAACATCCTCGTGCATCGCAAAAGATGACACGTGCATTTAGTAAGGGTCAGATGCATCTCAAGCGAACCACGACATGGATAGGTCAGCCCGTCCAAAAGCTACTGTCGTCGCCACCTATGCAAAATTTTGGAGCAATGATGTCCAAAAAGTATCAATCGGCAACCGAGAATATGATTCGTCTGCAGTCTAACCTGCAGAATCACCTCCCCCATTTACAAATTGCTCACAGTGACCTTACGCTCGAAGAAGACGAAGAAGACGAAGAAGATGAAAGAACGATGACAATTGATGATAAGAACTTTTTGTATGGATCGGCTGGCGATCATTATTCGTTTATCAAGTAAGTTATTTTGTAAGAAAAGCTTCATTGATCTAATATTTTCTATTAGGAGTCAAATAAAAGAACAATCACAATCAGTTGGGAGATTAGGCAAAAAGATCTTTGTGGCTCCAAAGAGAATTATGCATTGCAGAGGTATGTTTTTTGCTTCCTAAAGAAAACACACATATTGACAAAGATACTTGTTCAATAGTGATGCAGATCATCAATGTAGGATCTGAGCGTGGTAAGTAACATTGCTTTTCTCATTTCTCTTATGTTGGGTTATAATACTTTTAGACTGTAATTATGAGTTGACTGTATATCATAATGGTCTACAACACGCTATTCATCGAGGTAGCCTACGAAAGATTGGTAAAAACTTGAGCGCAGATCGACCTCAAGAAGATGCAATGAGACTGTAAGCTAAGCCTCTTCTTTTGACATTATTTGTATATTTATATCTTTATATGTAGAGAAGTGCAGGAACCCTTTTCTTTGACTTTTGCCGTTGCCGCACGGTACTCTAATACACGACTTCGAGATGGATTAGCCAAGATCGGAATCTGGCCAATCACACAAAAGACTGAGTTACCTGACACAGGTTATGCCGTGCTCACGTTTGAGCATAAACAAGACATCAAGAACCATGGCATCACGCGGTTCAAGTTGACCAAGATAAACGACCGCCGACCTGGGTTATTCAAGTGGTTTAATATCGAGCTCGTTGTAGATGTCAAGATCGTCGAGGAACTGCCTCCGACGGTTCAAAAGTTTCCTTGGGCCTATACACTTACAGAAAACTATTCAGAACTGACTTGTGAAAGCGCACAAAGTAGTGACATCACTCAAGATTCCAACCTTGTCATGGCATCTCAACAACACTGTCAAGGTGGAGACTATCTTACAATCTATACCCGAGGTGTGGCTCATCCGGTAAGCACATATGCACATATAATACAACATCAGTGTTCTCATACATCTATAAAGATATGGAAACGGTATTGGGTAACTATGGATAACCATCAGTTAATTCTTTATGACTTTACATACAAGGTATATTGTTTATACACATTCATTCCTCTTTTCCTTACTTTTAGTTTTATAGTTAACAAAGGACCCACTTCATAAAATATCCTTATTACCATTACAGTCCGTCAAGAAACCTACACTAGACGACTGCGAAAACGTGGGTATCGCTCGAAAGACAGGAATTATGCTTCAATTTGACCGTTTAAAGGCCACGGTGGGTGATGAAGATATTCATTTTGATGATGCTGAAGGGTTAGAAGGAAAGATGTTTATTTACTGCGACGATGAAGCATATGCTGTTCATTGGCGTAGAGCACTGGCTGCTTACGCTGAAAAAGAGATTGATAAAGACATGGAAGATCAAAACGGCGTAGACTTGAAGTTTTTATGGTAAAAAAAAAAGTATTTAGACAATACATAACTTAAATCAATAAATATTATTTAATACTTGAATGAATTATTTCTCTCTTTTTCAAACACTGTTCAACTATTCTTATATTATCAATCTCAAGCTATTTCTCATTAGAATCCTTTTTCCTAGTTTTGTATTATCCATGATGTTTGAAGGCAAAGACAATATAAGATTTATTGCAACATTGTCAATTTCAAGTTTTTGATAAACATTGGTTTCCATTTCTTGAACCAAGTTTATAAGGTCCTTGTTGACGTCGTTATTGCTCATAGTAAAACTTGTTGTAATACATTGACATTCCATCTCTCTGTATCTCAGCAAGGGGTAAGTTGATGTAGTACTGCTGTTTGAAAGATATACCCGAAACAGGAACAAGCTAAGCTCTGTGTCAACAACATAATGACCATGACGGAGCAACTTACATTTCCTTGACACTTTCCGTCAATTTATTAGAAGCATTAGGTCATTAGTGACACTTGCCTGACATGGCAAATCGGTCATGGAAAAGTCTTGAAGCCGGCCCTCAATGACCGTGGGGATATCCCTACTTGGTTCACTGACTCTTCGGCGATAGATGCCGTGATTCCCCCTTGTTTCGGGCGATAGTATCGCTCGCTGTAGCTACCAAGTATAATCCTTCCGTTGGCTAATACAATGAAACCCTTCAACAGCCGTTTCAAGGAGCATCCATCAATTAACAAATTATTTCCATATTAGTTACTATGGTTCCGTTTAAGAGAACATCTTGAGGTCCGCAAAGCAGAAATAACCTTTGAAGACTTCCAAAGCGAGACCCTGATACAGAGCAACTTGTACTTTTAAAATAACCAACTTTTTCTAAAGTCAATATCGGCCATATTTCATTTGTTCACCCATTCAAGGGCACTCTTGGGATTAGTCTCAATAAACTGTACTCACTTTTCACAGACCAATGAAGAGTTGTCTCGGATAATTTGAGTCTCACAAATATCTCAAGTATAGTCGCTTTAGTCTTCATAAGATTAAAAGTATCTAAAAGCGCCTTGTTTGATTTGTAAAAAAAAAAAAAGCACTGCAGGAGGACGCTATCTTGTACAAAGAAACTGTTATATTCAGCGTTGCTATTGAAAAAAGCAATAAGTCAATATATTGCAAATTAATTCTTTATAAAAAGAAGAGAGAAAGATTTTTAAATTAGGTTTGAGTGAAAGTTTTATAGGGAATACCAATGTTGTCAGCATAATTTAGTGTGGTCAATATGATTATTTATCATCAGACGCGATAGAAGAAAGTAGAATGTATGCTCTGCTGTAAGATTATACTCAAGTTTTTACAATGGTTCATATCAAACACATCAATAATGATTATTCCCTCTACTCATTCCCGTTAGATTGTATGCTTCCCCCTTCCACCACCAGTATTCCCATCCCCGCTTTGTTGAGCTTGCATAAAAAATACTGCATGCCCAATTGGGTTTAATAAAAGATTATTTAACCAAACTCTATTGAGAATATGCAAACGATCACTATTTACATCCTGTGCTTAAAACTTTCTCAAACATGAGCTTTTAAAAAAAATCAAACCTTATCTTGGCTTGTGTATGTGATACATGCACGCTTAGAAACAGCGGATATCAGTATCAGTATCCGCAGCAACAAATTCATGGTTCTGCTTGCTTGTCAAAATATACAAAGGGGTAGATATGAAAACCATCGATCTGAAGAGCATACACTTACATATGAGCAATATGACCCCTACTCATCTTTACTGCTCGTTTTTGAATAGAAAACATATAATCTAAAAAAGGTGCAGTGCTTATATTGGGAGTGGATTGACCAAGTTCTTGCAGAACAAAGTTTCTTTGTGAATACATTTGGTTTATCATTGTGCGAAAAAACGTCTGGACAACTGCGACTTTGCGTTTGATTTGGAAAAGAAGTGTATAAAAAATAAAAAGTAGTGTTGTTTAGACTGTAGTTCTATATTTACATGATAGGTTTATTATTTACAGATACTAATTATATGTAAGGAGAGTAAAAGAGTGTAAAAAGAAAATTACTGTTTGAAATCCTCAATAAGGATCCTGATAGAATCAATAGTGCCAAAGATAAGACCAACAAGACCTAAAAGGACAACAAGGAAGCACCAGGCAAGTTCGTAAATGGGTTTGTTGCGAATACCAGTGAGTTTGAGATAAAAGACGACGGGGAAAATAAAGATGAGACCACAATTGGCAAATGAACCGATCAAGGACATCAAGTCACCAAAATAGGGTACGACGGCACCAATGACAGCAACGAAGACCATAATCAAGATACGGATGGTAGCACGAATCAAAAATTCTTTGACTTTGCCAAATCGTTCGACGGTAACATTGAGCATTTCCTCAACATCAAGAGCAAAAGAAGTAACCAAGATAGGTGTAGCAGTCATAACGTGGATGGTCATGACAACGATGGCAACGATTTTGGGAACACCATCAGAGATTGAGCTGTAGACGGGAGACAAAACATTTTCACCATAAACATAATAGCCAGGAACAGCGCTGAGGAAGTAAAGAGCAGCACAGGTACTGAGACCACCAGCGACAGCTCTGGGCCATTGCTTTGGTTTCTTCATTGAAGCCTCGACATGAGGATAGACAGCGTTACCACCAAAACTGAAAGAGATGGTACTGAGAGCAATAGGAAATTTATCCCAAATGACTGCTCTGTGAACTGCGGGAGGAAGATGTTGCAAATCTTGGCAAGCAATAACAAGGACGATGATGACAACAACAGCAGTGGCAAGAGCGCCCAAAGCACTCATCCAGGCCACTTCTTTCATGGACTTCACCAAAATGAAAGGAATAGCAACGATAGCGGAGGCGACAATACTCCATTTGACATGACCAATTTCACCAGCAGTCCCTTTGCAGAGTGTGTTTAAGTTTTCACCAGAAAGCACCATGTACAAGATGGGAGCACCTAATGTGATCCAAGCGCTGAAGAAGAAGGTGATCCAGCCACCAATAGCGCCAAAACAAGCGGTAGCAATTTCTTTATATGAGAGTAAACGTTGCTTTCCATTAGCATATAAGCATCGAATGAGAATGATACCGGTATACATAGACATAGTCCAAGACAAGAACAGAATTAAGAGACCTATCCAGCCGCCCATTCTGAGGGCATATGGTAAACCGAGAGTACCAGTACCAGCAACGACACAGACGACATTGAAGTAAGCAAAAAATGATGAACCAGCATGTTCACGATTGACATCAATGATACCATTTTCACTGTATTCAAGTTCGGCTACTAATGATAATGAGTATTTAAAGGTGGTGATAAAAGATGAATGACATTACCACTATATGAATCATAGGCATTATTATTTCCTTGTTCTTGGAAGTCTCCAACCTTCTTTTCCATCTCCATTGAGGACATGTTTTATGGTAAAATTTAATAAAAGAGAGACAAGGATAAAAAAGAGATGAAAAGAAATAAACCCGGAGAATTTTCAAACTATTTATACAGAAACCGATGACAGGCTAAGGACCAACAGCAAGGCTTTTTTTTTTCAGTTTTTAGTTTTATGAAACGATCGATGGATCTATCCAATCAAATGTAACGTATATTCTATTTTAGGAAAGTCGTATCGTATGCATGGAAACAAATTGAATTCGTACTTTATATTAATTTGGTCTCCGCATAAGTCCGGTTGTAGTCGTTGATACTTTTTATAAATGGATAGTTACTTATACTTAATACAAAAAAAGATTAGTTCCTGTGTATAATCTGACGTAACATGAAGTGCTATGGTGAGAAAGATAGAATGTCAAGCGTGAGAAAACAGACAAACATAAATAGACCCTGTTCTATAAAGGGGATATTGTCGAATTTGATTGGCTATGAGCAACATGACTCAATAGAAATAAATACCCAATGGATACAAATCATAACACAAATTAAAACTCTATCTGACTTCAGGAAATGAAATCGTTACACGGTTGCCTTTGTCTCTCATTGGTTCATATACAGTCTTATCAGCGGAGTGTTTCAAAAGCGGGTATGGTCCCTCTTTCTATTTTATAAGTTGTTTTTGTATACGCGTTATGACCTTCACATTGTGGGAAGATATTCTTAGTTTCTCTTATTTCCTGTTATCCATGTATTACGTAATAATAACACTTCATATCCTAAGGTATTATTATTCTGACATGTCCTTACACACACGCGCGCAGTTATTGAAGTGGACTGTTCAGTGGATATGAATCCAAACTATCCCCCAGCTATTTACTCAAACAAAGGTTTTTTGAGCACTTTTAAATTATGCATATATAAGCAAGGAAGCACAATGAGTCGGCGCAAATATACCCTCTTTTTTTCAAACTACCTCGGTTATTGTAAGAAAATCATTTTTTTTTCCACGACATATGACCATAAACTATATTACCTTCCAAATATGGTTATCACCCTAATGATTGTGCACAACAACAGAAACGAGAAGAAAAGAATATCCTGATAACGGATTCTAACTGTAACTTCGAATCAGTGCAGCAAAATATATTATAAGAAACCCTAATCTCGCATACATATATCAGAATGGATAACTAAGCTTTCTTTTTTCCAAAACGAGGCGGGGTACAACAGTACCAATGAATACTCGACAAAGTTCTATCCTATGAAAAAAAAGCTTTGATCCCTTAAATAGTGAAATTGTTGGGCATATAGTATTTTTGAAGTAAAGGCTTTGAGTGTCTCTGATATCATTTTTCAAGTTAAAGTTTGTTCCATGTAACCTTTGAAAAACATATCCCTCGGTTGTTTATTATTTCATGTTAAATTGAGACGTAACTAGGTAAACATTAACTTGAATTCGGTTTCTATCGAATAGGAGTGCTATAAATGCATATTCCCAGTTATTAATCCAGTTGCAGGAAGAGTATAACGCATCTTTTAAAGTACGTTTATCAAAGCAATCTATATAGTCTTCATTTTTATAAAGAGACTCATATAAACTTTTTTGATTTGTTCTTTGGATATCTGTAAACAATTCATCCATATATGGTGTTTTTAAGTGGGATGAACAGCATTTGTTTTTCCATGCTATTGCTTATCCATCTTCAATCATATTCTGGGAACCTGGTGGCCATTGACTTTCCATACGTGAGATTAGGGCTTTTTAGAATATATTTTGCTGCACTGATTCGAAGTTACAGTTAGAATCCGTTATCAGGATATTCTTTTCTTCTCGTTTCTGTTGTTGTGCACAATCATTAGGGTGATAACCATATTTGGAAGGTAATATAGTTTATGGTCATATGTCGTGGAAAAAAAAAAAAAGATTTTCTTACACGGAGCCTTGAGTTGGGTGGTCCCTTTATTTGATAGAGTTTACTTGTGTCACAGGTTGGAATGAGTTTTATCTTCAAATACCAGTCGTTATCATAAAAGAGAACATTTTCTCACAAACCTGTAAGCAACCGTTGATCTTGTTGCTCAAGTAGTTGCTATGGTAATAAGCGGATCAGTATTTGTCATTCTTAAATCATCGCTTTAAACAAGTCTTATTTCGCTACAGCGATTTTATCAGATGATATAAAATAGACCATCACAAAAGATAGTATCATGTTGACTTGTATTAACATAAAGATTCATTTTTTAACATAATTTAATCTTATCGCAAAGATGCTACGCATTTTAATTCATACACAGTGGAGTCTATCGCTTTAGATCGAGTGAATATATTAGCCTGCATATTTTAAACAGGCAATGCTGAGGTTCTTCAATGTTTATCGACCAATCATATCTATTGGTAACAAGAAATGAACATGATTATTTAAATTTACCTGCATTATTAACTGTGTTGCCACTTTTATACAAAAAAAAAGTACTAACTGTGTTACAAATAAACAATGGAATACAAGCGCCCCGTTTGGTATGTTGATTAGTTATCATTTTTGATCAATACATCATCTTGGACTATGAATATGGAGAAATTACTCTGGCTTACTTCACCTAACTACGCGAAGATTTATCCAAATGCTTAATAGAATACACCTATACAAATAAAAGAATATTAGTTGTACATATGCTAATATCAATATTATCTTTACTAAAGTAAGAAAAAAACTCAGAATAAATGTTCTGATCTTGCTGTAGCAACAAGAACATAATCCTTGTCAAATAAAAGAGTACGACAAAATACAAGTATACATTTCACAAACTGCCTTATTTTTAAACTGCTGTTTTTATTTCAACGACAAAAAAGAGAGTTCAAACCACTTTTTTCTTTAAAAAATTGTGTATAAATCTTTAGAAATAGTAAGAAATTAAAAAAGAAAGATGAGAGAAATTATAATAAAAGAGAAGCAACTTAGTTCTCCAAAGTGAAAGCAAGACCGAGCTTGTGAGCATTTTCGTTAAGACGAGTGGTGTCAACAGAAGCACCAAGGTTGACCTTAACACCAGGACGGAGAGATTGAGTGTAGCTAATATACAATGTTAGTTTCCCATTCTACCAAAAATCATAAATAAACTTACGCAAGACCGAGAACACCAGAGTTAGAGATCTTGGCCTTGACGAAAGCAGAGGGGTCCAATTGGAGCTTAGCACCAACTTCGAGGGCAACGGCGTTGGAGCCCTTGGAGTCCCAAGTGGCCTTACCAGAAGCTTCAAGATCGCTGTTGACACGGTGGTAGTAAGAAGCAGAGTATTGGCTCAAGTTGTTGGTGGCGTGGACAGCAACACCGTATTCAGGAGCAGAGTAACCAACAGCGGCGTTGTAACGGCCAACCTGTCAAGACAAATTACACAACGTGTTTTACGGTATAGCCTTTTTATTATGCTTACCTTGCCATCCAAAACATTGTAGGCAACTTCGGCACCAACAAGGAAACCTTGTTGACCAAAGACAGAGTTGACGCTAAAGTTGGTCTATTAAAACGCGTGCGTGTGTGCATCAGTAAAGATGACCCATTTTTACAAAGAAAAAGCTTTATCTTACCTTGAAGACATCAAGAGTGGCAACAGTGTGGACATTGGGCTTCTTATAAGTAGCGTTGATCTTGGCGGCCTTTTCGTTAACGGAAGGAAGAAGAGAGGTCAAGAGTTCGAGCTTAAGACCCTCTACAGAACGGATGATGTTGAGTCAAAACTAAACTAATGACATGTCAGATGTACTTACTGGCAAGGTTGTTTTCCAATTCAATCTTTCCGTTAAGGTGGTTGGAGGTGGTCCAGGCTTCGGTGAAAGTAAGACCCTTTGACTTATCGGCATACTTGGTTTCGAGGTCACCGACGATGATGCCGGACTTGTTATCACGTTGACCAGTTACTTTGAAGGCCTATTGCAGCTGAATTATATCATTTGTTTCTTACAAGGTAAACTGTTGCATACTTACAACACCGTTGGGAGCAGTGGTCTTGACTTCGAGCTTAACACCACCAACGGGGTAGTCCTTGGACAAGAGGTCCTTGGCAGACTTGCCGATATCATTGAAAGCAACTATTAAAAAAAAAGAGATGAACACGCTTTTTTCAGACATGACCGAAATGAGCTTTACCGGGAACAGACATCTATTTAAGCAATGAAAAGAGTTAATACGTGCATACTTTTTACACACTTTGTAGACAGAAAGAAGCGACCAAGGCTTCAAACATCTCTTACCTTTGTTTAAAAATAAGTTGTATAAACTAGAGAAAAGAAAAGAAAAGCTCGTGTGTATTTTTTTTCTCTTAGCAGGGGCGACTTGTCGGGTATTAAAAAAGCATGGGTGCAAAACTCTGGGGACAGGGATCAATAATGGCATTAGTCAAAAACCCCATTTCTTATTGTTCTTTTTCTTTATGAAATATATCCTTTTGCAAGCATCCCTCAAGACAATGATTTCAGCATATTCTTGTAAACTTTTTATTGTTGTTTCTTACTCTCTCTCTCTTTTATTTATTTGACTGGCGCGTTATCTTTATATGGTAACACGTCATGCTTCATGTGATTGTTTGCTGGTATCATTGCAAGAAAGAATCGCGTCTTTTTTTTTCGTTTTAGCAGTAAAAGTATCAAAAATAGTCATAGTAATGGTTGTAATAACAACAGTAAGCATGTATTACATGCTTGTGTGCATGTCGATCGCGATCAACGGGGCTGTGTCTTTGTTCTTTTTTTTTTTTTACAAGATCCTTAGGATCTCCCTATATTGTTTGTATCACTGCTTAACACTTAGCTTTCCCCACTTCAAAATCATGCACACGCGAAGAAATATCTAATGACTATTGGATTACTTTTCACTTATAGATGCATATCTTTTGGTCATTCCATAATACTTTTTGTTTCATCTCTCCTGCTACTATCAGATACATAGCGTCGCTTGTGACCTTCAGTATCTGTAACTGCATCAAACCAAGAAAATCGTACAATAGCAAAATAGGATGCCAGACCCTGCTATTTTAATTACTTTACAGTGAGCGTAATGTAATCGTTAAAAAAAGGCTGCTCATACCTTTCCTTAGTTTTTGAATCCCGGTCTAAAGAGGTGTATAAAATAAATGAAAAACGGAGCGTGTGAATAATATGCTAAAGAGGATTAAAACATTGGATAAAAGACTAGTAGAGCCTTTTTAAGTTGATCATCATTTATATTTAAAGAAAAAGCACGAACCGATAGAAATTCCCATAGTCTCTAAAGTGCTAATTATTAAACACCTTTTTAAATGCTAAATCCTTAAAGGCCCTCGTTACAGAACTTATGCTAATTGGTCCATAGCAAAGCCTTTTTCTTTTTGTTGGTATACATCGAAAGGGATTTCAAAGAGCCACTTGTATTTATAACACATGGAGGGAGAATGACCGCTATCACAGAGTATTCTTATGACATGCGTCTTTTAATGATAAGGGGATCTGTAGTGATCGTATGTGCCGTATGTTGTTGCGCATACGCTAGGAGACCTATTGTGTAAATATCAAATGAAAGGACAATAAAGGTACGTAGCTGTGTTGGTTTCCGATATACTTTCTCTAAATCAAAGCGGTAATTACTTCAATATGAACCGACAAAATGTTGCTTATGACCGATACTGAAATAAACTACTGCAATCAGTATGAGCAGAGTGAACTCATACAATATAAGATTATATAAACACTTTCAGTGACAAGTCAAACTAAATAGAATCTTACTTAACTCCTTCACATGGTAATAACCCAGATTATGAAATGTATGCAATAAGATGTGATTTATCAATTTAGGAATCGTTAGTTGATCAAATGCTTATCAGCTGTTTGATAAAGTATAAACATGCTTGTTTCTTCTGTCTTTATCTCAGAATAAAGATTAACAATAAGTACTTCTTTGGTCTTTGCTTTGAGCCATCTACAACTAGATGGTGTGTCTTTTGAATGGATGTACTGATTTTCTTATTCAAGGATAAAGATGCATGACTTAAAAGGGGTGTTTTGCTTTACTAAAAAAAAAAGGAGATTATGCCAACAACGGAAACAATAGAATATTGATCCAGATATTTACAATGGCAAATTGACCGTTGTGTACTATAATCACATTATATTTCTCTCACACTGTATTTACCTTTGAACGACTTTCCTGCAGCAGATAAAAAGTAGTTCGCGCGCTCGCGTCAGTTTTTTTTTTTT